CAGCTAGAGCTGTCCGTCAGGCGGGGCTGCACCCCGGCTCTGCGGCCCCGCCTTGTCCCTCTTTGTGCCTGGGGGACAATGGCGGCTGGTGGGCCCGGCCTTGGCCAGAGTCCCAGCATGCTCTGGGGGCAGGCCTTGGCCGGACCCCCAGCATGCTCCGGGGGTGTCTGCTCTTCTCTGTTGGACCATGCTAGTGATGATACCCTGCAGCCAACCTCCCCATCACAGGCTGCTCCCTGACAGGCCCAGCAAAAGGGGGCATGCTGGCACCCAAGGCGTGGATTCCCATGCTGAAGCCCACAGGAGGCAGAGCTCCTAAAGGAACTGCTCCCAGCGTGGGTTGCATCAGCTGTAATTTGACAGTGGGGTGTGGTGTCACAGATGGCTGCTCCTAGCTGATAATGTTTCTTGTTAGCTCAAAGCAGACCTTCAACCTGTGTGGGTAACGGCTCAGTTTGAGATGAATGAGAGTGATTGCATGCCTTGTTGAGATACTGCTGGGTCCAGTTCTGATTAGCCCCATCCATGCTGGCATCCCAAGAGAAAGGACTATCCAGGAAGGGGTGGGAGGGCGTATCTTGGAGGGAGCCTCCTTCAGTGTGGTGAGTCACAAATTCATGCTCCTCCCTTCTGACCTCTACTGTCAGTGATTCAGATTTTGTTGTTTTGAAGGGTCAGTGTTGTACTGTCTTCTTTCTCCATAATCTTAATTTCTGCTGAATCTTTTTGCCATATGACATGTGGACTTGCTAGCTTAGCGCTTCTCAAAGTATTGCTTTTTTTCCCATAAGCTGAATGATTGTAGGTCTTCTCAGATCAAGCCAATTATTCTTCTGACCTCTTCTTTATTATTGATCCCAATTTCCTCCCTACGATTTGAGCTCTCTCATACAGTTTTGGTTTTGTGTCTTCCCCTGGAATCACAGCAGAGAGATTTAGGTTAGACATTGAAGGAGACTATCTAATGGAAATGGAGATTGAGCAGTAGAATTGACTATGTAGAGAAAAACATGTTATCCTCCTTACTGAAGACATTAAAGAATAAGTTAGGTTGATTGTTCTTAGAAATGACTGGAGTAG